GCAGCTGTTCACAATTTATAATAAAACAATTCTTACTGTAATTGTAGCACTAATGGGATACATATCAATCAACAGGTACATCATTACATAATTTCTTCAATTATCTGTTCAGAGCATTTCTGAAATCGCATTTGACAAATAACAGCATTAATTTTATTTAAATTCCCTTTAGAAATAGCTGTCATTTAAATTTTTTCAAGAGCTTAAGATTTTCCTTTAAAGAAAAGTTTTCACATTAGGAAATAGTAAAAACAGGCAACATTACTATATTGTTCCTAACGGAGTTAGCAGTAAGTGGCAATTTCTGTCTCACCGTTTTTTATCAGTTATCCATCTGTAATTCTAGCTCTTCTCCTCTCTTTGATTGTTCAGTACTCAAACTTACAAACCCTTATATCACAAAATTTTAAGTTTTGATAATTACAATCTCTTTAGTTAACCTTTACCGAACTTTCATAGTTTAGGCGCATTGAACATACAAAAAGACAATAAGCAAACACAAACACCAAATACAGTACAAAACAAAATGTGAACAAGGAACTTAGAGATACAAAGGAAAGACTTCTTTGTTGTACACAGTTCTGGAAACTGTTCTACAGCTCTTCCACCAGTATCCACGGATCTGGTGAAGGAATAACTGGATGAGGTTCCCTAACTAAAGTTCCCCATTCTGGTCACTTTTAGACCTAACAGGCTGTGAATCTGGATTCTATTTGGTGCCTTTTAAAGCATTCTCTCTTCTGATAATTTAGCAGGTGTGGAGGAAGCCATTTCTCTACTTCCCTTGACATGAAGCCTTCCTTAAATCAGTGACTAGGGTCTTTTGTTGCCTCTACAAAATGTGTACACATGCAATGATAGGCATTTGTCACTCCAGCATTACAGGATCAACAAACTAGGTCTACAGGTCAGCACCTTTTAGTGTCTAAACCAGCTTAGACTCTCCTTTCTTCAGACATGCTGCAGATATTGGGGTCTATTATGTTGGGTGCGGAGGAAAAGAAAGGGGAGAAGGTGAGGAAAGAAGCTTATGCTTTTCCTCAAATCCCTTTTGTCATCCAAGTTAGCACAAATTAGTTCTAGGACAGTGATGGCACTAACACATATTCTCTTTTTAAATCAGTGAGAATTACGTCAATTAGCCTATTCTAACTACATGTGAACTCCAATCCCACAAACTCTTGTGACCTTGGATTTTACATTTTTCCATTCAGAGATTTTCTGGCCTCTTAGAGACAATTCTAGCAAATACTCCTATCTACGAAAAGCAAGTTATTTTCTCACTAATTAATTCAAAGCTCAGAAATGGAACTCACTCCTAATACTACGTTCAACAGCGGTGGGGATACGAGAAGCTATTTGCAAACAAGATGCTTACTTGCAAAGAAGATGCCTACTTGCAAAATAATATAAGGCGGAGGCGGTCTGACGGTTCCGTAGGTGACACTGAGTGAAGTGGCAGCCAGCCAACCTATACCACAAACAGACAGCGCACCATTTCAGAGAATAATGAAGAACACAGAGTTAAGTCAAGTCTATCTGCAGATTAAGGAGAATACCAAACACTGTAAGGCCAGTAAGCACACAGAGTTCTGCTTTAAATCTGGTTCCGGGTTCTGAAGCAAAACACTTTAAAGAAGCTGCTTCTCTTTCAGAGCTCACTGCCATGCCCTATCAGCATCTGAAGAGACACTCTCGTAGGCAGCAAATCTGGTGCCATTGACATCAAAATATGTTTAAGCTGGAGACCTAGTTACTGTCTAAAGTAAGATTCCATCTGATAGAGAATGAAAGGCTAAAGGAGAAAAAGTGTCATCAGTGGCATTAAACAGTCTGAGAAGGAGCCCCCCGGCTAGGCTGTGATGAGATGCCTTCCGAAGCAGAAGGTGTACAACACTCCCCCTTGACTCAGGCAGCTGGAATTCCAGCAATGGCTTGAATGGCTTTTGCTTTTACTCTTCTGCATAATGAAGAATTATAAAAAACCCACTATCATACAAGTTATATTAGCTGTCACTTGTTATTTGTTTTTGCTTTCTCCCTGAAGTACAAAACATTAGAAGCTTGCAGTCTGCATACTGAAAGTGTGCAAATGCAAAGATCAGAAGCTCAAGTAAAGACAGAAATGTACATGACAAGTAAGTCCTGTTTCAATGAGCTTGTGTTTTATACACTCAGACAGCAATAAACTCAGCACCAACGCTGATGAAGTTATTAATTTCAAATTAATCTCTTCTCTGCCAGAGAATCTCTTTTTTTGCAGCATTGCTGCAACTGCAAGGCAAAGAAAATAGAGATTTTTGGATTGGATTTTGACTTCCCATGCAGAAGGCAGAGCTTGGCTGTAGGGCCACATGGACCTGGTGAAAGGTATAGTTTTCATTTTGTTCAAAACATCCAAGCTTTTATTGCAGCATTTAAGGAGAACATTAGGTTAGAAATGTCTATGCAAGCCTATAGAGTAGAAAACCCATAGAAATGCCCTTTTATTCAAGCTTCCACAATACTTAGCTTTTCTCATTAGACATTCAAATAAGGATTTCCATTTATCCTTAAGTGTATTCAACCCAACTATCCTATATAACAGCCTGCATTAACAAAAATAATAAAAAAAGCAATCAACAAACCAACAACAAAAACACCCCAAGACATCTGAGGTTAAATGTATATGGAATTCTGCAGCCAAATCCATAATTAAATGCCTGCTATGTCAAAAGCTGAAATGCTAAAAGAAAATAAAAGCCTATTTTAAGTAAGGACCTATTGTGTAGCTTTTAAACACTATCCAGATAGTTACCTATATGAAATCCAATGTTCTTTCAGAAATAATGACCTGCTTGCAAGAAGATAATTGGCACTTTCAACTGGCAAAATACAGTAAAACTGGGTTGAAATCACATGTATACATTGGTGAAAACTCTTTAGGCCTGTGGACTCTATCAGCAAGAGTAGATTCAGCTTCGTAACTCACACCATGTCTTGACTTCAACATAGATATACTACTGTACATTCCTTTAAAAATTCAGTAATTTGCTTCACATGTTCTAGTTTCATTAACAGTTCACCTCCCCTAAGATAAAACAATTCTCCTGACTGACAATTCATAAAAGAATTCTTCCCAAATCAGATTATCTGTGGCAGTTCCACTCATCTGTCCCTCTCCCCTACCACATACAAACATACTTCTACTTTGACATTTAAGCATCAAAATGAATCTTTTTCCCTTAATCACCAATGCTCATACTACCAATTGAGCACAGAGATCTGCTCTGAAAGATTCAACTCTCTGAAATGTCCCTGTAAAATATTCAGAATATTGACTAGTCAAGAATTAAAATGAAACCATTGGGAAGTCTGAAAAAGTCAGCTGAGCACATATCTAATAATATAACCTCTTTCTTTTAAATACAAATATTTTAGCACTATCTTGTCCTGCAGTCACGACAGTCATGAGGTTGGCACAAACCTGCAAAAGATGCATGGTTTTCAAACACTTAAGCTCCATTTGATTTTGATATACTACAAACTCCAACTATTGTTTTAACTACTGCTAAAGAAGCATGAACCTAATTTCCTGGAGCTGTTGTACTGACTGTCACTAATGTTTAATTATTTACATTAGTTTGTGTAATGGACATTCCAGAGGCAGCTGAAAGGAAATGTTTCATCCTAAGAGCCTAGCAGTAACACAGAACTTAGAGAACGAACAAAAGCAGCAGCTTAGACCTACGCAAATGGAAGTCTGCACAAACTGATGAAAGTCTCTAGTAGTGGAAACTCAAAGGTGAGATATGTGACACCCGGAAACAATCAAAATATTTGCCCTGCTACATACACTTTGGGGTTTCTAGGGGCAAAATTGTTCCCAAAGTGCATAAACTTAAAGTGACGATAGGACTCGGAGTAAATATTCAAAAGCATATCACAGAGAAGTTTTGATAACTCCCTGGCCACATCTAAAAAATGACTTTCCAATGAAGGAAACCAACTTTCTCTTGAAAGAAAGCAGATGGTGGAACTCCCTTTCCCAACGCCAGCTTGAATGTCTACCCAATGCATAAAAGACAGGCAGTACCATAGCCAATGTAGCATCTTCTTAGCACTGTAAGTAACCCGTTTTCCTTCAACAGCTGAGGCGCTATATGGCATCTGTGGAATACCTTTAGAAACCCAGTATTTCAAATCTTTCCAGTAAAAATAATAGTGCCATTTCCTTGCTTCCAAATTAACAAATGTAACATGTATTTATTCGTAACATCCTGGCATCATCTTTCAGAGAAAAAAAAACAAATACTTAAAAGAAAGCATTGAAGTTTAAGGGTTTTAGAACACACTAGTTTGGTAGTTTCCCTCTGACAGGTTGCAGATGTTTATTTACTGATCATTTGCACCAAAAGTCTACACTGAAAACTGCATTTAAGAAGAGTGAATTACACAAAGCAGGTGCATAGTGGCCCCTTCAAATAGTCCTTCAATCAGTTTTTAGCATTATTGAGCACCAAAATAATTGACAAAAAAAAAAAAAACAAACAGAGATACAGCGTCCTTCTAATAGCTAAGCATCTTTTAACATAGACTTTTTTACCTGCACTCTCAAAAGGCAAAGCATCGATACCTTCTATGGAACTGCAATAATATACTTACCTGTACATACTGACAGGAATGATGAACAGCTCCAGCAATGCTGATTCTGAAGGTAACATTTACAAAATTAATCAGAGCTATGGAAGTTTTAACCTGAAAGGACTTACCTGCATTTCAATTTGGATAATAACTCTCACCAGTTATATACCTTTTAAATGAGGCAACTGAACCTTACACAGAGCCTGACATTAATCTAAGTACTACTGTATATGAGAGCAATGTACTGTATTATGAGAGCAAATACTATTCACAGCTTAGAGATAACTCTCCCATTTGCTAATTAGTCATTTTAACACACAGATGAAAACGATCTTTCCCAGGGAACAGAACAAAAGCCAAGGAGAGAAGCTACTCACATTCCTTTGAGCCGTTGCCACATTTTCTCCGCATGTCCTCCTATTTGATACTTTATAGAGGTGCTTTCCAGTTCCCGAGTTGTTTCTGTCGCTCGAGCCCCCATCGTTATTGTCCTATAGCAATACAGTCACAGTCAGGCTCAGCAGCAAGTAAAAGCATTCTTTAGTCCACTACAAATGTCAGAAGATCCACGCATGTTAGACAGTAGCTGCTGTCATATCAAAACACATCAGAATTACAACAGCTGAGGGACGATCCTGCCTGAATCGCTATTCACTTTGATAGACAAATCCACTCTTCCCCCACCCTCCCCAAGCACAGAGCAAATACACACAGCTCCTCTGACCTGACGAGTCCAGCTAATCCATACGGGTGAGCCAGCTACTATACTACTGACTGCTCAAGCTCCTTTCTCATGCACTTTTTCTGCTGTAGGAATACGCACAGAAGCACAAAAGAGTCCTTAAAATGGACTATAATTCATTGCCATGCAGGATAAATGCAAATGGCTTTAACAATCCAGAAGGAAAGAAAGGCTGGTTTCTGCTCTGCAGGTTGGAGAAACCGGCTGCAACAGGAAAGCAGATGGTAGAAGCCAGTATCAGCCACATCACCCTACAAAAAGAGTGCATGTTCAAATGCCAGAGCTCTCCTCTCTTTAACTGATCCTGAATTGATTCTTAATGAATAAATATCTACCAGCTTCTCAATAAAAATATGACTGTACAAATGCTAAGTCCGTAGTGAAGACATGTATAAATCTCTGCAGAAGAGAAATCGGAGAGCTCTACAGGTTGTTATTGAAGGAATATGCTGTAATGATGACTATTCACCTTCTCCTAGCAACTCCACACAGTAGGTAACTGTCAATTTAACTGGTGGAAAATGCAGCAGCTGCAAGACAGCCCGCTCAGCGAATCCGTCGGGACAGAAACATGCGTGTGTCAAAATCTGATGCTGAACTGTGTGTATCTGCCAGCTAAAAAACAATTAAGTGCATGCAAACAGCAAAAGGATTGAGGACTAAGCAGTACACCAGCCATGCAGCAGCTTGCCAGATCTGTCTTTCAACTGCAAACCTAAGGACCTAGTTGTACAGCCAAAGCTGGGTTTTGGAGAGGGCAAAGGAGAAGATTTTCTTGCTGCTTGCTCAGCCACAGACTTGGGTTTGCAGAGCAGCTCTGGTAGGCTGTAAATAGCACCTAACTTTTTTGGTGAGTCAGTAGCAAGCTTCATTTCTGAAGCAGCAGCCAAATAATCAAATACACCACAGACTTATCTCAATGATCATGTTTGTTTCAATCAGAGTAAGAGCTGTGCAAGCAGCCAGGCAAGAGGGGTGTGACAAGTAGGAGTAAATGTGTCTGAGCTTTGCCAGCTGCTGGTGTCACTGCCAGCCGGGAAAAGGGGCTTTGGGTCCATGACAGAACAGTGAGGATGAGTGTCCTCGAATGCTGACTGGAAGCAGCCTAAGAGTAGGACATGAATACCTCAGTATGGCTTTAACTAGACACTTTAACACTTTATCTGTGTTAAATTTTACAAAGGTGTGAGATGATGAGAAGTTCCCATCTGATGTAATTAGCAGAAGTGGATAATATCTTTAAGTACTCAAGATCTTACAGAAAAATAAAAAAGAGGCTCACTGCTTTCAAATAATCCTAACACTTCAGAATTTCCTAATAGATTTTGTTTCTCTAGGATACCTTCTATGCACATTGTAGATTTTAAATATACCCTACGAGAGTTATAAACCAGTTTGAGATGCATCTTTTACACACTGATTTCAGGTTGATAATTAAATAGTACATTTCATTTACTTCTATGGATTTAATACATGCACAATTTTAAACTGGTATAATTCACAGACTTTCACAGAATTATTCCTGACTCAGACATATAAGAGTCAGTCCCATCAAATTCACTAGCAATATCTGAAAAACAGTCACTGGGTGAGCAACACCTCTTACACTTTTCAAACAGCATCATACGACAACAGTGAAGAGATGCAAACAGCTGTTTTTCCAAAAACTGCAAAGCATTCATTTGGTTAAAGGTAGCAGCAGTATCTTTGAATCTTCATTGAGGAACCATTTAAAAACTTCCAAACTTTCCACTCCTGTTATGCATGGAGTCCAACTAAAGTTTGTAAGAAAGAGTATAAATATCCTTCCATGGAATAACTAATGAGAACCTCTCACACTCTTCTGGGTTCTTCCCTGCCTTTTAACTGCCAGACATCTGAAGCAACGCAAAGAGATTAAGTATTTATAGAAACCACATAAACCTCCAGGGACACAGGGGAATTTTAAGGGTCTATTTTTTCTCATAAAGTATTCCCAGCTCTTGTTGTCCAATGCTACAATGAAGAAATAGTGCTGTTTGTAAGCTGTTCTCTCTCCCTCACAAGGAAGTAGCTGAAAATACACTGCTTTGATTTACTGGAGAAAAGCATTATGAACAGGTAATATCCTTCAGGAAGGCAGGAACAGACTGCCCAAATAATATCATGGCAAATAGACATACATCTGCTAACTTCACTAAAACTCCACGAAGAAAAAAATCGTAAAAACTTTGCTCCCTGAAGGACCACACCACTGCAACAACAGAAATTTCTACAACGAAAGTGCCTGGCATGGCTTACGCAAAGGACAAACAAAGCAGCCTCCTCCTCAAAGGTTTATCTTGCAGATTGTTCAGCAAACCACCGGAGATGACACTGAAAGATGAAATTTTGCCTCTGAAAATGAACAAAACAGCAGGAAACACATAAAAACAGACAGACAAATCAGAAAAATTAAAGAAGTAGCCAGAGCAAGTGTCTTGTAATGTCCCTAAGGAGAGAAACAAACCATTTAAAACAAAGAAACAAACAACTTTTAGGTATGCTGTTATCTTGGCGATGTGAGCAAAGAAATCCTCATGGAGACATGGGGAGAGGAAGGACCTTTCCTCTCTTTAGCTTCTGTGAGTAACACTCAGAGAATGAAGCAGCTGAGCCTGCACCCTTCCTCCCACTCAGAGGGCTCAGGCACAGAGGCTGAGAACCACAGAGCCAGAGCAGTGCCAGCACTCCTCCGGCTGCAAGAGGCGACACGGGGCAGAAAGGACAGCCGTTTGCTGCTGGAATATAGGACAGCCATAAATTATAATCTGTATGTAACAAGGGGGGCATCAGGGGAGGAATTACAGACAACTTGCTCAGAAATACACATCTGTGCCCTTGCAGTACAAACTGGTCCAAAGAAGATCCTGAATACTAAACCATGAGCATCTATCTTAAGAAGCCAAATCAACCAGAGAGATAACACCTGAAATAAGTTTTCTTAAATAGTTTTTCTCTCTTCATTTCCTGTTCTTGTTCTGGTTTTCTGTTCTTGCCCTACCTAACCTGGTATTTGTGCTACAGTCCCAGCAAGTTGTTGTTACAGTCCATCTTCCTCCTATAAAAATACAATTTTTGCCCTTTGCCCACAGCTTTTTCTGGGTTTTTTTGTTTTGTTTTGTTTTAATTTCAGCTTATAATTTCCATACTAAAGTGAACACTAAAGGAAAATTTCTATTAGTCAATATGGAGATATATTAAAATAGGAATAATTAAAATTTTCACCCTTAATTATGGCAAAATAAAATTGTCCCAGTGCCAGTTAATCCTGAGATAGGAAGCTACACTTAATGTATCCTAAGCGCCTTTTCTTTCATCTAAAAACATTTCAGTAGTAAGATCAATGCAAAGAACTAATCTTAAAACATGACAAATGGAGAATAAGGAAGTATCAAGAGGCCTGTAGGGTGACTTGTCAGACTAATACTTATCTCTCCAAACCTGGCAACACAAACTTCCCTGTGGTGGAACTGCAGGAGAGCCATGAACCAATTAAGAAATTTGAAAACATAAGGGAAAGAAAACCCCAAACAAGACGACTAACAAACCCTCAAAAAGATAAGATAAATTTATTGTAAGTAGTGACAGTAGGTATTAGATCTGTATGCCAAATATCCTGGCCATGATCTAGCGAGCAAGCACTAATAGACATTTAAGCGGGTAAAGCACCGCATTTATTTGCTGGGTAAGAGAGTTCAACACTGTTGTAAATAACAGAGTTAAATCACTGAAGAACTGCCTGCCAGTGGATTCGAGTGTTACAAGGTACTTTGTGAACAGAACTTCAGGTAGGACAAAGATCCCATGACTCAAATTCTGCCCTTGCAGAAAAGGAATGGTTTGCTAGACAGTGTTCTCCATGTCTCCCTCTGCCCTCCCCATTGTCTATTGCATTCACATTTGTGAAGCGATGTGCAATTGCCTTCTTCACAAGCACGGTTTCCAGCTTGCTTGCAATGCCGCAAAGTGTGAATTATTAATCAATAAGTGCAGCAGAGTAAAAAGGAATATTTGGTCTTATTAAATTTCATGGACCTTATTCAAACACATAGGTCTCCAGCAATCTGGCAATGGCAAAATATCTATGTTGGAGTAATCCTGGATTTTCAGATTCTCCACAGAATAGATTAATAAAATTAGTAGAGTTACATAATTGAGGAATAGCAACTTTAAAGATTTACACATATGGTCTACGTAGTGGATTGGCATTGACTCAAGTAGGTAAAAGAGTTGGGATTGATATAGTAACAGTGATTAGATGATCTTAATAAGGAGACCCAAGAAGGAACATTTTCCCTTTACTTTTTTTTTTTACTTTAGTATTTTCTGCTACATCTGATTTACTTTATTTGAGGTTTCTTCATATAATCACTAAAGTATGTATACTCATTCGTGTGTCCTGCAAGTATGAAGCTTCAGGTATAGCAGGGAAAAAAAACAACTTCTATTTGTTTGCTATGGGCATGCCATATCATATTGGTAATGAACATGGAGTCAGATTTATCGAGGCTTTTAGACAAAAATGAAAACAAACACCCATGAAAGCATGCAAGCAAATTAGCTGATAAACCTCAGGGCACAAACAGACATATATTTGCAAACCTACTTATGATATATTAAGACCTTGTAACATTTGATTGTTCAATGCTGCCCCTTACTAGAGGTTACCAGCTCCAAAAGTCTGTTGTGAATGTGTTTGAGTGTTCACAGACCAGTTC